TGCAGCTCCTCCTCATCCTCGCTCTCACTCTCGCTGTCGGAGGAACACTCCTCGGTCTCGCTGCGGCCGTGCTGCTGACGGCTGAAGGGCGAGAAGGAGAGACAGGTCCAAGTGTCTGCCAAGTATCAGCACCCGCTCAGATCGGGTTTTCACGAGTCTACTTCATCTAACACCCTTCTTAGGACTTTCTAAATAAGAAATGTTAAGATGATCAATTTCGGAAGCCTAATTCTTCTATATGAAAGTCCTGAAGTTGAAAACTCATCCTCCATGTAAACATTTGTTGGAAACGTCGGGACCCCCGGCTTTGTATTACCTCTGGATTTCAGCAATCTCAGCTCCGAGGCGCTCTATCTCTTCCTTCTCTGAGGCGATCTGCCGGCGCAGGAACTGCTCCATGGCTAGAAGCTCCTCCTGTTCAGTCAAGAGCTCATTCTCCTGAAATAACGATCACTGGTGAACATCTCTGAGCGTTTTCGCTAGAAAACGCCACTTCTCTTTTGCCTCCTATGTTGCTGTGAATCCTTTCACCATGTTACACAGTGTCTGAGGACCCAAGCTAGGTGAAAGCTTATTGTATTGCATAACAGAGCATATCCTCTTTCCTGAGGGTGAAGACGACGCTTCTGTGAGAAGAGGTAAACTAAGTTATTTGGGGGAAACAACGAGATTTTTCTCAAGACATACGATGCCACATAGGAATCCAGTGTCCTCATCCTGCAGAGGCTCTCTATGAGGCTAGCACATTGGGGACAAAGCCAAAGTTTTAATTCGAGACTAAATTTGCTTTTGCTTTCCAGTCCTTTCTTAATGCCTTCCCATCTCTAAGGGCCTAAGTGGCCTTTGATACTTTCACTTGGAAAGGAAAGATCCAGGAGATACGTGGCTGGCTGCAGCAACACTTTTCAAAGCAAGTCTAAGTGAAGGAACGCTATACTTAGAAAAATATTTTTTCCTCACTGTAAGCCACCAATTCTTCTCAACCCATGTCCCCAGAGATAATACTTAGACAGTAAATATTCTCCTTTAACAGAATGAACCCTTCTAAAGCTGATTAGCCACCAGTCTTACGATCTGGCTAGAGCTAGCGCCTCTAACCTAGAGACAAGAACCAAAGCAAACACAAGGGGGGAGGGAGTTCAACAGAAATGTAAGGGTTTGAAGATGAGGAGCTGGATACAAAGGTCTACAGCATTTCTTCTCCAACTGATAGGTACTGAGGATAAGTATCTGTGGTCAAACTTGAAAGACACTATCATGACCAAGTTCTGAAGTAAACTTCTCGAAGCCACTCATATGCGTTGAGTCTTTCTTGGAGATGTAATAGGCAGTGTTTCCCAGGTGTTTTTGAACACAGATGTTTTTCCTTTTCCTTGGTGTACCTATTAAAGCTAACATTCCAAAAAACATCAGATTGAAAAACCCTAAAATAAACACATGATCAGTCTCTCCTCAGAGGAGAAGCATCATGTGCCTGCAAGGCAAAACCATGTATTTTTCAGAAGTAACAGAAAAGACTTAAACTTGTAGGGCTTTAGGTACCCCACATACATGAGTTTCTGGAAGCTTACAAAGACTATGTTGCAGAGCCTAGAACTTCATTCTTTTCTCGTTAAGCTTTGGGAATATCCAGAACAGAGTAAGGTTGACTTGAGAAATTCAGAAAGGAATAAATGAGCTCATCTTCAGTTCTATGCCTGGAATATAGTGGCACTCAACAGATATTTGCTGAATCAATGAATGAATAATAAAGACAATGCACCTCCAACAATTGACTTCCACCTGCAAAGAATAAAATCAAAATATCTTAAAGGTTAACACCTTAGCAACAAGTATCAATTAAAATCTGCATCATTACATTTTCAGGATCCCAAACTTTGTGACATTAGGAACATGTTTTCAAATATTTACTAAAGTCTGATCTCGTTAATATGGAATAAATACCACTAATCTGTAAATGAGAGAAAATGCCTATAACTCAGACCTGCGGGTTGACTAAATAAGATTAAGCAAAGCACCTAGGACAGTGCCCAGTAAGGAGTAGTCACTCAGTATATGGTAGTTTCTTCTCCATTAGGCTAACGTTATAAAAACACAACATAAAGGCAGGACCAAATACAGCAGGCACAGTCCCTCTAAAACTTCTAAATCATCTTACAATTTTGGTTAGCAAATTTACACCTCTGTAGTTTAGCTTCTCAAATTATAATTTTAAAATGACCATTAAGATTCTTACAAACGAGAGAAAAGGCGCCTACCTGGGCAAGGAGAATATTTATAACTTCTTCATTTTCATTCATCTCCTCTTTGGAAACATCCTCTTTTGAAAGACTGGCTATCTCCTGGGCGATCTTGGTTTCACACTCCTGGCGAGGGACAAATGGAAAGATCTCATCAGCCTGTACGGAGCACACAGTCAACACTCCCCCTAGTTAAAACAAAACTTGATAATTCACGACATTCTAGAAGCTTCCTTCTCATTTCCTAGAATTGAAAAAAGAACAGTAACAGATGAACCATCCAGAGACAGGTATTTGTTAGCTGGGCTTGGTCTGTGGCTGCCCTGTGATAAATGCTCAATTTTGGCTTATGTGCTTCACCGTTTCTGGAACCCTTCTACATAAACTACATTCTGTGACTTTTTTTTTTTGTTTGGGGGTCTGAGGAAAGGAGTCAATTTTAAGCGTACAGTTAGGCCAATTAGTTTTAGCAAATGTATACAGTCAAGTGACCACCACCACAGTCGTGATATAAAACGCTTCTGTCACCACAATTAATTCCCTCCTCCACCATTTGGCTGCCCCCTGGCAACCACTGACCTGCTTTCTATCACTGTAGTTTTGCTAGAAAAGGACATCATGTTTGGTAAAAGAGAAGGCCAACGAAAATGAGGGAAATCTTCAACTGACACAAAAGCCGCAACAATGGACTCAAACATACTATCATGAAGATGACATAGGACCAGGCAATGCTGACTAGGAGCAATGAACAACAAGAGTTTTGCCTTTTCTACAGTTTTATATAAATTGAATCAGTCATTAAGTAGTCATTCTTATCTGGCTTCTTTCACATAGCATAAAGCTTTTAAAATTCATCTATTTTGCTATTTGTATCAGTAGTTTGCCGAGTCACATTCCACACTATGAATGTGGAACAATTTGTACACCCACTGACCAGATGATGAGCACTTGAGTTCTTTCTAGTTTGGGATATTATAAATATGTTATGACTAATTCACATATGGTTTTTGTAGGCATATGCTTTCTTCTCTTAAATAAATACTAAGAGTGGGGATTGGTGGGTCAAATGGTAACCCTATGTTTAACTTTATAACAAACTGACAAACTGTCTTCCAAAATGACTGTACCATTTTGCCTTGCTAAGGCAATATATGAGAGTTCCAATTGCTTCCAATTCTTGTTAACACTTGGTATTTTTAATT